CGATTAACTTACAGGAGCAAAGCGTGTCTCCTATACTGGCACTTGGTACCCTTCAGGCAGAGCTTTCTACACTGACTATGACCGATACTGACTGACATGCAGAGGTGCCACTGGTGCATAATAAGTAGACGAAGTTGGTTGTTTGATGCGTCGGAACGCATTAGCGTTGTTCCAGGAACCAAGACGCGAGCAACGTCATCCCCAACCCACCAAGAAAAAGCAAGCATCCCACCTACTATTACTAGGTACTGGGTACACTGCATCCAGCTTCTCAAAAAGACAAGAGAAATTCATTTGTACTATCGTGTCTGCGACGCAGTGCCAAAGTTAAAAGTAGCCATGCCGTTCAAAAGCACCCTCGCGCAATTCAAAGCGCAGATCAAGGACCTCCAGCAGGAAGGTCAGAAGATTCTATCCGGGGGTCAGCAACGACACCAACCTCCTCCACCACCGCAACAGTATCCTCCAGCAATCCCGCAAGCCACACATCCCAACCTGCAGGGCCAGCCGGGATTCCCGCCGCAGCCGACGACATACTGGCAAGCGCGTTTCGATCCCGGGACACCCATAAGCGCCGAGTGGGAGCATAAGCTGGGAAACAACAACGGATGGGGAAATAATGAGATCGAGCATTATACGGCCGAGGGGGAGAATTCGTTCTAGTAAGTTGTTACCAAGTCTCACTTCTGGGTCGAAAGGTGATCACTTGTCAGAAGTCCGTGGAGTGTTGTCTTTTCACCCTCACCCTTCTCTCCTTTCCGCAGTTCGGGGCCTCATGATTCGCGATATGAAGACGAGAATCGGTATTTTTGGTATTTGGAGAGTTTCTCGAAAATACAGGAACTTGCTCAAGACTAGAGCGGTCGGCCCTGTGATAATAAGGCTTTTATTTCTTTGTTTCTATATGGTTCTATCATGATCAGCAACACATTCCTACCATCTACAGATACTACCCTCCCATCCTGCATTCTTGTGTTGCAACCACTTGAGCCGAGACACAATATCTAACGCTATGCACGCTCTCTTTGTGCGCTGCTTTTCAACAGCACGCCCGACCACCTCCTCGTTCTGCGCGCCATCGCATCGCCAAACAACCCAGACCCTGGGAAGAAATATACCTCGGCACGCCTCGTTTCGCGACAACGGCTGTCCCGTCCCCAGGGCAGCTTGGTGGCAACACTAACGCTGCCGTGTGCGGGGGGCATCTGGCCAGCGTTCTGGCTGCTGCCGTTCGAGCCGTTTACGTGGCCGACGGATGGCGAGGTGGACATTGCCGAGACCTGGAACGGCGACGGAGTCAACCACTCGTGCCTGCATTGGGGCTTCTACACGCCGCAGGACACGATGAAGCACCGCGTCGTCGCCACCCCCGTACACGGCATGGCCAACGGACGACCCGTGCGCTTCGAGTTCGCGTGGGCCCAGGACCCCGCCACGGGCCAGGGCAGACTGGTGTGGTGGATCGACGGGCAGGCCGTCATGAAGGCCCCCATACCCAGCGGCACGCGGCCCATGGCCGACTTTGTTGTGCTCCTCAACATCGCCATGGGCGGCAACGTCTGCGCCGGCAAGATTCCCAGCGAGGGCACCTACGACATGGTCGTGCACGAGATGAAGATGATGGAGGAGCCCGAGGCCGGCGGCTGGGCTAAGTTTGACAGGGACTGGGGCTGGGTCAGGGAGGGGGATACGATTTGAGGTTGAGAGGCGTGAGTTCCCCCCTCTTTTCTCATAGCCTTTTTTCATTCATTGCATTGCATTGCATTTTTCATTTTCATCGCCGGCCGTGATCATCTATCAGCCTTGAAGGGTCAAGGCTAGGCTTCAGCTGATCTTTATTTCATTCACTCAATCCAATCCCTCATTTGAGACAAACAAGACCAAGTTAACTCACTCACTGGAAAATATAGATACCTCCCTATGCTTTTTAGCCCTCTAACTCTCTAACCACTTGTCATGCATTGCATTCATTACATTTTATCACATCTCAACACAACACAATATGAGCGATTTTAACGACGTCAACGACAACTCTCGAATGATAATCAATCAATCAAGCGCCTTATTTTCAGCCAATACATGTCGAAAAACGAAAGTCCAGCGATATATATCTTGAGCAATAATCCCTCGAAACGCAATTTAAGCGAAATATACTACACCAACCAATTCCTGGAGAATGAGACCACGCACAATCATATATCATGAGATAGAGAATGAGATCTACTTTCGAAATTAGGAGCAGAGACCAAGATAAAGACTTTACCGCGTATTTGGATGTTTTATGGTTGACAACTTCCTTGTCCTACAGAATACAAGGGCATGTGAAATACATGCACATGTCCAATTTTTTCTTTTCCTATACTAATTAACTTTTCTATCTTCTTCCCCTGCCAGATTTGATTACTATCGTCGGTATATGAACAATCGTCCATACATTATTGACCAGCACTCTTCATCCCTGTCGCCGTTTCACATCCTCACAAAAGATCCACACATGTCACATTTAACCAGCTTGGTACAAGGCCGGTCCAGCGTAGACGTATCTGTATGTTTGATTAATACATGAATTCATACTTGCGTTTTTTTCTCTTTTTGAGATGCGAGGGGAAAATGACTCACGGATTAACCATGGATAAGTTGAACGGGGTGACATATGGATTTTGGCTGGTCAAAGCGATGAACATGGTTGCATTGACGGCAGGACTGAAACAGTTAGCTTACTCTCACGCAAGAACTGGTACACAATAAATCGAACACATTATGGGTTGGATGGAACGGGACTTACTCTCCAGCAAAGGTCGACATGTTGGGCTGGACGACCGCGGCGGTGTTGCCACTGATGTTAACGAGTGGGATGAAGGTGGCGTTGAGCTGGGAGACGAAGAGTGCATAGCGGGGCGCATCGGCCAACGGAGATCGCGCGGTGATGTAACTGTTGTTAGGACCAACGGTTTGGTTCACATTGCCCCAGGAGAATTGGATGGGTCTGCCGGGATATGAGAGTGGGATAGACTTGTTCTGGCTGATGGCCGGACCACAGTCTGAAGAAGCACCCTCTGCGTCGATACACAGATTGCTCGAAGCGATACCGGTGGTGTTCAGCGGGTTGGATCCGGTGGTGTTCGACACGGGGCCGATATTGGGGTTTGTCTTTGCCGGATTCGGGTTGTTCACGATGGTCAGCGCAGGGAAATTCTGCCATGCCAAGCGGGTCGTGTTCGCAGGGCAACTCGAGCTGAGAGAAGAGTCAGTACAGGGAAGAGACTCAACTCCCCGGGGGGGAGCCATGCAGAGCTCCTGCATGCCAGAACACGAGATAACAACTTACATATACGGCGCAAGCAGTGTCCATGCCCAGGATTGAGGAATGCCAGGGATAAACCACAACGGCATCGGGAACAGACCGTCAAACTGGCGGAATATCAACTGTTGGCGAGCTTCAGTGGAGATGGACTCAAGCAGTAACGTGGCAGACTCTCGCGAATCGAGATGCCCGAGGAAACCGTAAACGCCACTCTCGCCAAAGCGAGTCAATTTCTGGCAAAAGTCGATGAACTCCCGCACGTTGGTGTAGGGATAGTTGTAGGTACATTGAGGTGGCGCCTGAGTTCGTTCGCCGTGCATGTTAGTCCTGAAGGCGCAACGTCTAGTAGTAGAACTGCCTGAACACTCACCGCAGGTCCTAGGATGTTGCTGAGCAGCGTCGCGTGGCCGACCTCTTGGTTTGCCATGAACTCGATCAAAAATCGATCCTCGGCCGTCAATCCGGCGTTGTTGAAATCCTGGACGGAGAAACGAGCGAGTCCATTGTGGAACAGGTCCAGCTCTATCCATTCCTGGTAAAGAGCGAGAGTCAGAGACTCGTAGTCGAAGTCGGACAGCGGGTGATAGTATGGCAAGGTTCCATTGGTGCCCTGCCCCCCAGCCGGCTGATACGGAACTGGCATGTTCGAAGCCTGTAGCAACCCATTATTGTTGGTATACGTGACCGGTGCAGGGCCAGCAGGAGCAATCGATTGAGCCACCGCGGGCGCGCTCAAAGCTCCCGTCACCGTCGGACTAGGACCGTTGTAAGGGCCATGAGAGGTCGGTCCCGTGACTTCACTGCTTCGGACAGGAGGGATGGGAGCGCTGGCGGGCGTTAGAGTCAGCTGGGGAGCAGGAGCAGGGGCAGCCGCTGCTAGAGCACCAAAGCTCAAGAGAATACCCGCAAAGGACTTCATTGTCACGACAGGAATATGAGTACAGATGCAGGAATAGATCAGGATGAGGGCCAAAGAAATTGTGCGGGAATTATAGCTTTCATTGACCCTTCGCCTTCAAAAACCAGCATGACCTCAACATTCTGTCCATACCGAGAGCATCCGGTCGTCAGCTCCATTTCTTCCAAATCTGGTTCGCAAGCCTACGGAATCGAGGCTCGGCAGGCAGTTGTCGAACAGCATTCAACCACATATTTCTCCTGTATGAGCAAAGGGCGGGGAAATGTAGCTGTCATGAACGCGCCACACGAGCATTGCCGGTGGTCAGCTCCCCCAATGGCCATCCTACACGAACGTCGATGTACCGGGCTCTTCCAAGTCGTGACGTAGTCAATGATGCTGGGAGAGGGCCGGGAAGCACGAGATGTAAGACGAGGCTGCGCAAGTCCATGGTCAACGTAATTCCTCGGGAGATTGTTGTGTAAGGCTGACGGTGGCAATAGGGTAGGTAGAGCTGCTCAGGAACAGCTCTTGTCATGACGTTTGTGGTTGAGCCGGATCAGATATCCAGAAGCTGCATCCCAGCAGCACCAGCAAATGGTAACGATCGACCACCTCCCAGGCCTTTCCCGAGTTTTCATCGCATTCAGTTATCGACAACCACACCTTGCCAGAAGGCATCAATCACTGGTCGGACGACGAGCATGGTGTGGTAAGGGGTATGGTTGTTGCAGGAGACGTAGTTGAAGTGCGAGTACCGAGAGACTAGTAGTGAGTGCTGAGTTGAGCAAATACCAAGAAGTGCCTGCGCAATGCCTGCGCAATGCCTGCGCAATGCCAGCGCAATACGGCTTCTGGGCGTGACCGAAGCCTGCGGAGAAAACAAAAGGACAGGCAGTCCGACCCAATCGCATGCCACCCAACACACGGCATCACCGTCATGGCCACGGATTATTCCTTTTGCCCTGCCTCCGTTCGCCATTTGCCATTTAGCCATTCGCGTCCAGAAGCTGACAACACAAGCAACCAAAACAATGGAGATTGAGTTCCTACCATGCTACGAATTCCGCCCAGGAAACCAGCGGAGCGCGTGAGATTTGCATTCCCATCTCCGCGAATACCTCCCTCCACCGTCTATCGACCCCATGGATTTTCCGGTGCATCCAACCAGATACTCAGACGGTTAAGCAATGAATATCAGATCGCCCCGTGACGCAACAGCAGCAGGCAGTAGCAGAATCTCATTTCGGGGCACAAAAACTTGTGATGCAGCCTTCACAAAGAGGGTTTCCGTATATTGGACATGAGATAGAGGTCTGTTCTCAATATGTGATCTGCCCGTCCGGGCTCCGAACGAGCGAGAGAAATTACATTCGCGTATTTGATGAGCAGGTCAGATTCGATGCGGAATTGTTACCTCGTCCATGTCGAAAGCAACATCACCACCGTGAGACGCAGGCATGGGGGATCATCATCTATGCGCAGTCAGATCGATCGATGCACCTTAACGCGACAGTGTCGACTTCTGTGTCAAGTCGACCTCCGCCTGCACTTCATTGCCATATGCGGATGTGTATGCATCGGGCACCTAGACGTTGTAGCAGACCGGCTCCATAACCAGACAAGCCGCAGGTCGACAAGGAAAAGAAAAGGCCCAGATCTCACACCGTCAGCCCCAGAAGGCTCAGCTGCGACGAGTACGGACTTCAGGGCGCCATAGAGGCTCGGCGTTGAGCCACTGGAGAAATTCAAACCCCCTGAGAAACGGAGAATCAGTGTGAAACAACACAGAAAAAACTAATATTACACCATCGCGTCCATCTGCTCACGTTGCCATCTCAGCAGCGCCAGCGCGTCACTGGCACCACGGGGAGCCGTCAAGGCCATCTCGGGTGGGCAGCCTCACACCAAATTTGGGATATTATTATTGTTATTGGGGACCTGGCTCCTTTTCCAACACGTTTTTCTGGGTTGTTCTTTGGGCTGATGGACTGATGAACAGACGGGCAGATGGGGCCTCCACCAGCTGCCGCCCGTGATACCCAAACGACCGGCGGCTCATCCACTCCAGGGCTGTGGACCATTCTACATTGGGACCTTGGAAAGACCTTCTAGCGACACCCAGATCCTCTGTGGCTGCATGAGGCGCGTCCCACTGGCTGATTGCCCCGGTACCTGCGCAAGCCTCCGAAGCCTTAATTTGAGCCTGTGGGATGCCTTTCAACTCTGAAGCGAAACTCTCCGGGCTCCTGACTGGCCGGTTGCCCCCTTTCATTCCCCTGTTGGGTGTCTGTCACCTCGCCGTTGTCCACCATGGGTCCATGGGATTCGCGGTAGTGGCCAGACATGGTGTCTGATGGGCGCCGCTGGGGAAATTGCGCTGAGAATACTGCGAATTAGCCTCAATCGGTGCATGGCTCGTCGACCCGGCCTCCAATCTCCCTGGCTAGTGACAGCAGTACAAGAAGCTCAGGACGCCCAGAACCATCGTCCTTTTTCTCTTCCTATACTCAAGCTGTGACTTTCAGTATCCCACAAAGCCCTTTGACTTCGGTCGTCCATTCTTTCGAGTTCAGCTCACCCACGCTCGTTCAAAGCACCACCCGACGCTCTTCGTTTCGAAGTTATCTACTTTTTTTTCGATTCCGGTAATTCAAAAAACCTCAATCCAACCAAATCCGAAAAAATGCGCTCCACCATTGTTGTCGCTGCCGGCCTTGCTGCCGTTGCATCTGCCGGAACCACCACCATCACCGACACCGTCGATGTGACCATCACCTCGTGCGAGCCTACCGTCACGAACTGCCCCTACAAGGGCGGCTCTGGTGCCGACCAGACCTGGGGTGACTGGAGCGCTGCCACGACCACCTCCAGCAAGCCTGTTGACCCCGTGAGCACCGACTCCCACACCTGGGGCGACTGGACCAGCGCCAGCAGCACCAGCAGCAAGCCCGTTGACCCCGTGAGCACCGACTCTCACACCTGGGGTGACTGGACCACCACGACCACCTCGGCTCCTGTGGCTCCCACCACCACTGCCGCCTGCGGTCAATACACCGCCACCACTCCCCCGGCCTGGTTCTCTCTCCTGCCCTCTGATCAGCTCAGCTCGATCGAAGCCAAGTGGACTGGCGCTCCTCCCGCCGACTGGTGCTACTGGACTTACAGCACTGGCTCTCTCTCCACGACCGCCACGCCTGTTGCTCCCGCTTCTGACGTCCCCAGCCCATGGTCCTCTGTTGCTCCTGCTGCTGGCACCGGTGCTCCGGCTGCCCCTGTCTCTCCCGAATCCACTGGTGTCTGGTCGTACTCTGGGTAAGTTAATTTTCACCATTTGCAATGCGCAAATTCTAGGAATGAGTTGGGCTAATGATTTTCAACAGCTCTGCCACCCCTGTCGCACCTGCTGTCGCCACCTTCACTGGTGCTGCCAATGCCAACACTGGATCGTTCGCTCTCGCTGGTCTCGCTGCTGCCGCCGTTTTGGTCATGGCATAAGCGGGTGTCAACTTGTACGAAGGGCTTTTGAACATTTTTCTGTTACGATCCACATGGCCATTGCATTTGCAGGAACAGCAAACAAGTCCTGCTTGATACCAAGGAACAAAGCAGCATGTCTGGGGAGGTTGTCTATGCGAGGGGAAGAGCAGCGAGTGTTTCTGTAATTAGTTGCAAGTGTGCAATGGGGTAGTTGCATGATTTGAAGATGGTCCCTTCTTTTGCATATTATCTTTGGACGCATCAAGGAGGTGCTGGCTTGATCACTGTAGCTAGCATTGCGTAATACCTGTTTACCGGAGCTGCTGGGAGTTGTCTTCCTTTTTTTCTTACTGTCCTGGTATACGAGTATGATGTAAAATTTCTGTTAGAGATATTCATCACTGTGTGAGAGTCCTTGCATGTTTGTGCCCTACCAAATACTTCACACGTGATGTAGAATCAGGGGGAAGAAGTAAATGTCCTGATTAGGAGGTTGTGGATATAAAAACCATCTTTTGTGGCTGTGAGGGAAATTGCATGTGGCCGAAACCAGCATGGAACAAGACGCCACGCCACACACGCCCTCCTCCCTCCTCCTGCTCTTCTTCCTCCTGCCGCCTCCTCCTCGACTTGACCGCGTTCGACCTTGCTGTCACACCTTTACTTCCCTCCTTTCCCCATTACTGAAACACACAACCATCGAGTGTCTTGGCAATGTCTCTAGAGCAACCAGGAAATGTTTGCTTTTCCGGTTGACGAGGCAAGATTGCCACACCGCATATGGCATTGTGATTCCACATGGGAGATTACGAGCAACAACATGAAAATGACTACTCGTACTACTGGATCGCGTATCCCATGTCCGCTCGCCACGTGCGGATCTTGTATGATGCTTGTGTGTCTACATTTGTGGGGGAAATATTCACCACAGAGGGCGACAGCAGGACCACTTTACGAGGACTTGATTTCCGTGCCGTTTTACCCTGCAAAACACGATCCGTGACAAGGGAGATCCTACATCTATTCTTGATGGCACTGATGGGTACCCAGATGTAACCCAAACTCCCGGTTCCAATGCACCCCTGGGACGTCTGGGACGGGTCCCAGCAGCAGCGCACGGTCCACCCCTTATACAAGTTGCCCCAGGTCAGACTACCTACGAGTACCGAGTCATCTTGAACACGGGTGTATAGGAAAAAGCACGGCTCTCTACGGATGTTTATAATCCCGCATCACCGTCCTTGTCATCGTATACTCTCAACCACACGGAGAATTATTCTACGACTACACCTCGACTCGCCTAAGGCATTCCCTCAAGACTCTCAGATGAGACGCTCGACCCCGTTTGGACCCCATATGGCCATTTTTACGGATCCCCCATCAGTCTTGGGGGCTAGTGAGGCTGGGCATTTGGGCCATGCAAAGGCTTGACAAGCTTACTCGGCCCCAGATTGTCAGCTTCTAACTTGTTGGGGCAATTTCTGCTAAGCCATTGCGCTGCGAAGGAAGCCGTTCGTTTTGTTTTCTATTCTGACCTGATTGCCTGATCAGAAGGAACATCGGTCCGCGAAGAGCCTCCCTCCCATCGCCCCTTCGACCGGTCCTTCAACAGTCTTCCTTCTCGCTCCTTCACTGCGCCGTTGTACGCTGGGGGGGATATCGCGATAATGTCGGGCAATTGAACAATCCCCCCTCGTGGGATCGGGGACAGCAACTTCGCTTCCCTTAAGCCATTTTTTTCCGCTGCTATAGTGGTGTCCTTCACTGCGCCCGCGACATGCTGGCCCCTTCTGCTATGGTTATTCTTGACGCTTATCGCTTACTGACAATCGCTTCCCACACCGTTTACTATCAATGGATAATGCCAATCTGCTGGCGCGGCTCTGCAGTGTAAGTCTGACGCTCTCAAGGTCGCCGATTACGAGACGCAAGATGATCATCGAACCCTACCCTTCCTGCAATCCTGGTCCCGTTCGGTTTGGCCCATCAGATGATGGTTAAAACTCATATATCGCCCTTCATCATGACCTCACCTCAGGCTGCGTTTTATCTTCACTTTTCGATGAGCGGCCTTGGTTGGTTGCCAACATCTTCTTGTTGTCTCTCTTTAGATGACTGGCGTCGAGGATCAGCGGATGCCTCCAGGAACCCGGAACAACACTCTCGTCCTTGCGACACTCTCACTCATTTGGCCAGCTTGAAAGTGAATTATCCCACCATCGACCTGTTCTTCAGACGCGATTTCTCATGATGAATCCACCAAGCAACAATGTCTTCGACCAGGTCCGGTCGAAGCTGCGGCAGTCCCGCTCCAGTATGGTGTTGACCACCTCTACATATCCTTCATATGAGCAACCCAATTGGGATAATGTTCCCGTGGCATTTCGGCCGGTTGAGAGGGCAGAGGTGCGAGTGGTACATGGGTACTACCTGGATCGACCTCTTCCTGGACCGCCTCCCCGTCCACGAACAACGTCTCCTGCTCCGCCTTTCCAGCCGGGGCCAGCCATGAACGTTGACCATCTCAGAAATCCTACCCCTCGCACACACCGCAGCAGATCGGCTGAAATTCCGCAGAGGGAGTGGTCAGGTCTACATGCTCAAGACTTGAGCTTCCCGAACAAGAGGGCAAGCGTCAATATTGCTATTGCCCTTCCACCGGATCATCTCGAGCCTCCTCCGCCATACTCTCGCTATCCCTCTCCGCCATCTGGAAATCCGACGCCTCCACAACCTCCACGGGTTCAAGAGCAGCCTTTCATCAAACCGTATAACCCAATTGATTACGTCCGTCCGCCGAGTCAGGAACCGAGACGACTGCCTGAGCAGGTGCCCATCATTGCTGCCCCAGAGCCACCCACCCCCGTTTCCCCTATCAATGCCCTGGATTTACAGTACTTGGCCATGAGACGCCCGCCAGCCACCAATAGCCATGTCACCATTGACGGTCTTCTAGACCATCCTATGCTGCAACACAGATGACCTTTTCCATTCTGATGTCCTCTCGAGTCTGGTTCGGTCGTTGGAGGAGAGGTTGGTCGGCGCAAGGTTCCACCGAAAAATATAAACCAATAGGCCCATACCAGCGGAGAGCATTCGCAAGGGGATACGAGCTCAGGCCATGGCCGATCCAAGTTCGCATATCTCGATCCTCACGTGTATGCCCCGGGAAGGCGGGAGGAGGAGCACTATTCCCTGCCACCGAAATTCGCGGTCTGGTGGAATGTAACGCGTAGGAAGAAGCTCCTCCCTTCGCACCTCGACTGCAGGATGCGACACAAGGAATCATTGCTTTATATGGTGCCATCCGCCACAGGCAAGTTTGATTTCAATCACTACTTTCACTCATTACTTGTTTAATCAACCACTCGTTTGATGTTCCACCTCGCTCCTATACGTTGCTGTTTCTATTACCACCAAGACATTCTTTCCGCAATCGCGTGACAGAGATTCACTCATTAGCTATTAAAAATGGCGCCGATCCCTTCTCTCGGTGCAATTGCCAACCTCAATGCCCTCAGTGTTACATCCAGACGGCTTGTTACTCGCTCCCTAACCTCCGAGTCCCTCGTTGCAGCCATTATCGTCCTCTCGGTGATCTCCACTCTTCTGCTGGGCAGCATGGTTTTCCTGTTGGCCAGAATTTGGAAGCAGGTGGTGGCCAAGAGAGCCAGTTCCCATCCACCCGAAACATCCAAAAATCATAACACAAACTCTGAGCGCAAGCAGAGTGACTGGGCCAGGAAGAATAGTAACGTGCTGTGGTCCATGTATATCGAAGAGGACGATTTGAAAGCTCAATTCGCCGTGTCGCCAAAGTCCAGACTGTTCTCCATTGGGTCTGTCTCCACGGTTGATCAGGGAAGGTGTCCTTTGGATCGTCGACAATCACACGGCAACACACTGGCCCAACACAAGATTGTCGATGACAAGAATCCTCAGAACGAGGAATCAACGGCCGATCTCCGCAGTCGAACTCCATTCGAGCAGCAGACGACTCCGACAAAGAACGTCGCTCGTGCGCGAGCCCTGTCCCAGCCTTGCAACCACAGACATAGTACGTCAATCGAGGAGCTGGTGAGGCGCAAACAAAGTGTACCTGCGCGAATCGACGAGGAGATTTTTGGAGGCTATGACCACTACGGAGGGCCGTGAATGTAAGAGCTGGCGAGGTTTCTACAGATATCTGGATGGACACGAGTGGTTGAGGAGCTGTCTTGGGGACAGATTTCGTTTGACGACCCTCATCATTTCTATATTCCAGCTTCACAGAGAAATACGGATTCAGTTCAATTCTACTCAAGGCGATTCAATTGATTTTGCAACGCACTGTATCATCGTATCATGCTTGAACGGCTGTCTTACCACAGACATCCCCGATCACGTGCCGTTCGTCTCTACAACATCCGTTAAGGTCCTCAAAATTCATTCCTCGTCTCTATTCGTCACTCAACCACCTCCTCCACGCAAAACATTTGACTCTGGACCGTCCGTACCTTGCAGGAATGCCTCGCACCAATGAAGCGGAAGAGTTCGTCTGCATGGAGCCCCGATTCCTCAGCCGAGAACGGGGCAACATGTGTGGTTGTGTGCGCCATCCTCGTGTCTGGCATCCAATGCTCTGAGCTTCAAGACGCCGATGACGAGATGACGGATCCTTTCCCACGTTGTGGACTGCTTTGTCCTCGAGATAAGAACAAGTGCACCCTCATCTGCTCCTTCCGAACCACTCTCTCAAGTGTTTTGCCCGGCTGGTCTCACTTTCCCAGTCGTCATTGTCTGGAAAGATCTTTCACGGAGAGCATTTGCTTCTAGACTTTGAGAACCGGTCTGTCAACATCTCACGTTGATCTCGTTGTGCTCAGATTCCTCTTTGTGCTCTCTGCTTCCCGTGAAGAACACTCCGGAGATGCTTCTCAACGCCTCCCACAAACTCAGCTTCAGTGGCCTTCCGCCAGATCTCCTCGATGCCTATGTCCGGTACAAGAAAAGTACACGGGCCCTCTTGACTTGGTTCCTCCAGCATAGCCCGACGCCAGACAAACCCGTCAAGAGCTTGACCATCAAGGATCTTGAGTCTCTGGCTCAAGTGGCGTCCAAGAAGATACGTTCTCTACCCGATATAGTGCATTTTTACTTTCGCGAAACCATTTCAGACCGGAAGAAATTCAGCAAGTATTACCGTGCCCAAGTCGGCGAGTCCGCCGACGACGTGGACACGATCAATCACGAACACTTCACTGCAACGCAAGTCTTGAGTCACTGATGCGTCAAAACACCTCGACTGACTTTGACTGCAGGCTCACCAAGATCTACAATGACCTCTGCGTCTGTTGTGGTGACCACAAGCCGGGGAACCAACCACACCGTAAATCGCTCTCGGCATCTCCTATTTGTCAATCACTGCGTCCGGTCAATCTTTACGAGGGCCTGGTAGTTGAGGATGCCGAAGACCACGAAGGCCAGAGCCATGGCAAGGTAGGACATCCAGGGCAGTCCAAGCCCATCTCACCGCCACCATCGACCACTGAGCGTCAAGATCTCGACATTCGTCTTGCAGACGATGACCTTGGCAACGCTCTCGAACTGGCAGCCGCGGCGCAGGTAAGTTCGTTCTGAAGTGTCGGGAGTCTTTGTTAATGCGACTAGCAAATCCACGATATATCCTTCTCTGTCGAACAATATTGGCGGCTTGTGGGCGAGGGTACCCTCTCGTTCGCAGTTGCAGCTTTTATCACCAATGTTGCTTTTGCTTGTCTGCGCCGAACTGTCACCGAATTACTTCAACACGACGAAAACTTGAGCCTGGCAGACGTCCGTCGCATATGCGCTCTCAATCGTCCAGCAAATAAATGTGCGGGTGACACTAAGGAGCCCATGCGCACTGACCAAGCCCTGATGGATCGACTGCAGCACTTTCAACAAACACTTGCAGATGTTTCGAGCGGTAGTCTAACCCTTGCTGACCCGTCTTGCGCCAAATGCGGCCACAAAGAGGCTCAAGAAGCTCAGCGGAGAATCGTCGAGGACAATACTAGCGGTCAAAGCTTCTCAAAAGCCATGATAGAGAAGCTTGTCCAGTTGGTGAACAGCAAAGCAACAGATGTCGAGGTCATTCAGACCGGGACCCCAGTCTATTGGGACGTGTGTGGCCTCATTAGAAATCCCGAGGACACTCCCACGTCTTGGACAGCTGTTCTGGGACTGGATCTTCTAACCCAAAGCACCAAAAGCTTCCTTCGATCCGTTCAGCCGCCGCAGATTGCCTCGCAAGGTCGGATTGTCGCCTTGAAGCTGGCCCATCAAGCTCGCTTCCACGTCACGACGATTTTGAAGAACAAAGCCGCCTTTCCCTGCCGCTGTTCTCAGACTCTGGGCTGTCACCTGCAGAATCTGGAGACCGAATTGCACCAGTATGCAAGCTACAATTGCTGGGACCTCCTGTTTCAATCGCCATGGGTCGCCGGCAACCACGCCCTCGAAATGGTGGACCTGTGCCACTACTACGGGTTGCACCTACTCAGATATCGGCATTACGTGGGCGCGGTCCTACATTCTTATAACGTGCTTAGGCAGCTTGGCGGACTGGAGGAGATATCGACCTTGGAGAAACTGAGCATTCAGTTTGGCGATGTCTTGTTTCCCGGCAGCAAGCCTCCCAAGTCCAACTTTCGCACTTGCTGGGCGAGACACGTGGGCGCAAGACTGAAATTCGAACAGGGCCATAAGGGTAAGAACAAACATGATAACTGGTGTCTCGCGATTCCCGCCCATGCGGCAAAGGCTGCGGCTGGATTTGATATCCCCAACCACCAACAGAGGCATATTTCGGGTTGTATGTTGTTCCGCTACAAGCACCAGAACTACCATATCAGTGATGCCCAGATGAAGCAGATCAGTACCCCCGTAGTGCGTCAACGCCCAAACGGAGAGCGGGTGGTCCAACGGATGTGCAAGACAGACGTCCAGATCGTCGAAGCTGCAGGCCAGAATCCTAAGCTGTTGGCGGTTGCCCTGATGACGCACCGGTTGTTCACCACGGGCGCTGGGGGACTACTTCCGATGGCTCGGGTGAACCTGTTTGCTCTATTTGAGCGATGCCTCAGAGTGGTGTCACAGGTCTCGGACAAGATGCATTCTGACAATGAAGCCGAAAAGGGCAGTAATTGCATCTGCTTCTGCAGTGAGATTTTCAGCGCCGCAGATCGTATCGTTAAAGGCAGACGACTGGGAAAGCTCGAAGCATGGAAGGAACACGAGCGCAAGCTCATTGAAGACACGAAGGAAGCAATTCAGAAAGCGTTTGGCTCTGTTTCGGATGAGGAGATGTTGTGGAATGTCTGAGGGGATCGCAAGCCCGCCCAGCAGAGACTGTACCGGAGGGTATTGGCAGGCGGCGAGGTAGAGATGCAATGGCTTGGAAGGCGCTTTTGAGAAATGTCCAGTCTGGAGTGCTAGTTGGGTGGTCCTTTACCTTTCAGTATTCCAAGAGATTCAGCAGTGAGAAGAGTGGAGGCAGTTGGAGAGTCAGCGTGAGAGCTTTGTTGCTGGTATCGTTACAGTATGTTCGTGTTCTGCACCAGTAGTCATCCTTCGACCGACTTTAAGCCCACGTCGTCTGTCGACATGACGGTCGAGTTGAATTTGTCCGAGGTGGGCAGCTCAATGTGAATGTTGTTCACCACGGCGATGCCCATATTGACCTCGTCGGCCTGCAGCTCCAGTACGTGTCCCCCGATTTTTCTGTCCCTGTCGATAAAGTGCATGTGCTCGCCGGCGACGAAGAAGCCCTGCCAGGCCGGCGGCGAGCGGAACCCGACGATGGTGCCCTCGACGTCGCGGTACTCGGCGACGAACTGCGTCTTGCCCAGCTCGCTGAGCGGCTGGCCCGCGTACTCTTGACCCTTGACCGTGCGGCATTTGAGGTGCTGGAACACGCCCTCGATGCGGTATGACACGAAGAGATTCTCGATTGCCGCGACCGGCGCACCCGCGCTGCCGTCTTGTCGATACATAATCACCTCGTCCACGGCGTCTTTACTCTCGAGCCTCACGCCCGTGACGGTGCGCTGGGACCGGAAGTGCGTGGCGGCCGCGTAGGGGATCTGGGCGTCCGGAGACGCGACCCTCACCCTCCCCTCGGCTTGGAGCTGGTACACGGCGCCGTCGAGCAGGAGCAGTTCGCCGTCCATGTGGACGAACGTGCCGAGGCCCTGGTTGCCCTTTGTGAGGAGTTGCGAGGCGGTGATGCCCGTGTCGGATATCCCGGACATTAGGGCACTATATGTAAAAATATGAGATGTTCGTGAGTAGATATATTCAACGGGAAGAGGATGGAAGGGAATGGAGTGGAGTGATTTAAGGGCGAATATGATCTCGAGCGAGTGAGTGAGCGAGTGGTATAGGGTGAGAGATGGGTAAAGGGAGGGCGAGAGCAATAGTCTCAGCAATTTTCACTCATTTTACTTACTTGACAAGAGAGTACTGATAGATCTCGTTGATGGCCATCTCTGTCGAATTTCCCAGCGTCTCTTTTCTTTGATTGTTTGATTGATGTGGACGGGATTCTTGCTTGGACAGGATAGATCGACTGATATGTATGCTTTGTCGTGGTCTGTTCTGCTCTGTTGTTTTTATTCTTCACTATGTATCACCTCACCGCAGATTCTTGACCATTCTTCTCTGCCCTTTCCTTTCCCTTGTATCTCTCTCGTTGTGGTTTTTTTTCTTTCTTCTCCTCCTCCAGCTATTCCGCAAAAGTCGATATGCGTCGTGACGTCTCCGGGAGGAGAAAAACAAGGGTTGCCCTAAACCGGAATACGGGCCTTGCGGGTCGCAAACAGATCCAGCACAGGAATCGGTGGAATAACCGGCTGCCGATTACATCATCTCGCGCATGCGTCTGATGCATCCGCCTGTGAGGGGAGTGAGTGAGGCTTCAGGGCGGAGAGGGAGAGGGAGGGCGAGTTGTTCATTGTGTGTGTGTGTGTTGTGTACATGTATATATCTCAGTGAGTGTATAAGTGAAAGAGTGAGTAACTGAGTAATTGGGCTGGAAGTTGAGGACTCACACATACATCGCCCATCAATCTACAGGATATTCTATTCACTGCGCTTTCTGGACAGTTTTACTCCCACCTCTCCCTCACTGCCTACACCGTCCTCTAAGCCCATCATGAGCACCTCCGACGACACGGTCGCCCAGATCATCGTCAACAGCCTGTACAATGCCGGCGTGCGCTTGGTGTTTGGCGTGCCCGGCGCCAAAATCGACGCCATCTTCGACTGCTTGATGGACCACCCCGAGATCAAGCTCATCGTGGCCCGACACGAGCAAAACGCCGCCTTCATGGCCGCCGCGGTGGGTCGCATCACGGGCATCCCAGGCGTCTGCATCGGCACCAGCGGACCCGGGGCGTCGAACCTCGCCACGGGCCTCGTCACGGCGACGACGGAGAACGACCCCGTGGTGGCGCTGGTGGGCTCGGTGCCGCGCCACATGAACCTCAAGCGCACGCACCAGAGCATGCGCGCGCTGGACATCCTGGGACCGACGGCCAAGGTCGCCGTGGGCATCGACGTCGAGGACCAGGCCGCCGAGGTCGTCCTCAACGCCTTCCGGACCGCCAGCGCCGCGCCCAAGGGCGCCACCGTCATCTCCATCCCCCAGGACGTCGCGCGGGGCAGGTCGAGCATCCTGCCGTTCCCGAGCGACGCGTTCGTGCCGCCCATGTACGGGCCCGCGCCGCGGCAGACGCTCGACCGGGTGGTGGGCATGATCGAGCGGGCCAAGCTGCCCGTGCTGTTCCTGGGCATGAGGGCGAGCAGTCCGCGCGTGGTCAGCGCGGTGCGGCGGCTCCTGTCCAAGTTCCCCTTGCCGACGGTCGAGACGTTCCAGGCCGCGGGTGCCGTGCCGCGCGAGCTGGTGCACCTGTTCTACGGGCGCGTCGGCCTGTTCCGGAACCAGGTCGGCGACAAGCTCCTGTCCAAGTCGGACCTGGTGCTCGCCGTCGGCTACGACCCCGTCGAGTACGACGCCAACCTGTGGAACCCGCGCGGCGCCCGCCACGTCGTCCACATCGACTTCACCGCCTCCGACTACGGCACCTACTACCACCCCGTCGCGGAGCTGCTGGGCTCTGTCGTCGAGAACATCACCTACCTGGCCGACCACCTCTCGCAAATCTCCGAGCCCACCATCTCCGACCTCTGCCAGGGCTTGATCAGGGAGTACACCATGTGGCAGGACAGGCCCGAGGTGCAGGGCTCGTCGACGGGGCTGGTCCATCCGCTTCACTTCATCACCACCTTGCAGGGCATGGTGTCCAAGGACACGACCGTGTGTGTGGATGTTGGATCTGTGTAAGTTTTTTTCCCCCAGATTTTGGATAGGGCATGTGTTTGTTTTTATTCTTTTTGCCAGGTGGTGTCCATAAACCTACCTGCCTGGCTTGGAAAGGGCGTCTTGCAGCAACGCTAACCCATGAAACTACACCCCTTCCCTCTTTTCTAACGGTCTTGATTTCTCGGTGGCAGGTATATCTACTTTATGCGGTTCTTCTTTGCATATGAGCCGCGCCGGCTTTTATGGTGAGTTTTATCGGCATTCTTTTTCTTTTTTTTTCTTTTTTTTTTTTTTTTTCGTCCTTTGGCCATCTTCTGCGTCTGGCCCTAGCTGTTCCCTTCCTGTCCCCAATTCGTCCCTCTCAGCTCAGGTCACCTCCCTCCTAACCTTTTCGGGAATTTTTGTCCTGACACACAGTTCCGACGGCCAACAAACGCTGGGCGTCGCGCTCCCGTGGGCCATCTCTGCATCCTTGACGCAACACCCGACTCCGTGCGCGGAAAAGGTCATCTCCGTCTCCGGCGACGGCGGCTTCATGTTCTCGTCCCAGGAACTGTCGACGGCCGTCCAGCAGGGCTGCGACATCACGCACGTCGTCTGGAACGACCACGCCTACAACATGGTCGAGTTCCAGGAGGTGCTCAAGTACGGGCGCGCGAGCGGCGTGCGTCTGGGGGGTGTCGACTTTGTGCGCTTCGCCGAGAGTTTTGGCGCCAAAGGCTTCCGCATCGAGAGCGCGGGTCAGGTCGGACCGGTCCTGCGTGAGGCGCTGGCGTATCGCGGCGTGAGCATCGTCGATGTCGCGATCGATTACTCGGGCAATGTCGAGTTGGCGAGGAACGTCATTGCGGATGAGTGGAATTGATAATTAACTCTCCATCCGTCCTCTCCTGGCTTGATCTATTAATCCCATCTGAAAATGGGAAGAGAAGAGCGCCGTACCCTCGTCACCTACCGTACCGATCGGTTGGTCGGTCGAGCCGACGACTAGACGAACGAAGGGACGAGCAGTTATTGACGAACTTGGGAAATGGGTCGGGTTACTTTGATGGATCAGTTCAAATTGACAGGACACGGACACGATTTCTATATCTTAGCCTCTCATGGGACGCTTTGGTGGAAAAAAAAAAAGAAATGGCAGACAGGGAGGAAACAGAGACACGGGAAACAGGAAATAACAGTCCATTTCACATGATGCGACGACATCTGCTGAATCGCTAACTTGGTCTGTTACCGGGTTTCCTGGTTCCTCTCTTCATGTTGACACTTCCTGTCTCTCACAGTCAAGAGTGCCCTCTTTGCCTATTCTGTCACTTTGAATCTGCAAGACCAGGCACGTACACAGCATACGGCACAAAGCACGGCGGATATCCTGAACAGAGACCACGTTACGTAGCTTCCACAAAGCCCTTCATGTCCCAGTTTCTGCCTGTTGGTGCGACTGGTGCGACTCCTTGTACACTAGTACCGGCCCATCTTCCAGCATGAGAAACTCCGTCTTCCAACCCACGACATAATCCTCTTCCTCCAGAAACTCTCCGCTGACACCGGTACTCTCGTCCTCGACCTCCCCCGTCAGGCCCAGATCTCGCGGATCCAGCTCCGCAGGCATGGGGACTTCAGCAGGAAACTGCGATGAAATGCCGACAAGGTCTTCCATCACCGCTTTAAGGTTCCTTACTGGTATCTGCCGGAGCTCCGTCTGTGCTTGCGGCGGTGTTGTTGGATTCTTGATGGGGGTTTTGCCGCACCCGCTGTCTTTGCCTGGTTCGCCGACTAGCTTGCCACGCGCCTGGTGGACATAGATGGCAACTTCGTCGAGAGTGGATTTCTCAAAGAAGCCCAGGTTGATCAAATCGTAGCGACCATGGAGGGCGAGTAGTAGCTCCTGCATGTGGATGTCTCGACTTGTCTCGTAGAACTCGCCCGCAAGGGCCTCGAGCTCCGAGTGGGCTGTGCCTGAAGCGTTGAGCGCAGCCGGAGAGACGTGTCGGAGGAAGTCCAAAACATAAGATCTGAACGCGTCGTCCGGCAGGGTTGAGGTCGTGCTTGACATGTTGGTATAGGTTTCCTGTTGGTCCTTGAAACAGGTTGGCTGAATGGGTGAGACGAAGGTCGTCGTCGAGAGGTGCAGAAATTGGCTCTGTAAGGCGACGCGTCAATACAAAACGTGCCGGCAGCGGTCGCAGGTTCTCTCATACCTGTTTCTATCATTCCATGATGTTGTCGCGTTGCTAAAGAGGTCAACAGGCAGCCGGAACAGATTGTCGATGCGCGGAAGGTGCGAGGTTACGGATGTGGATGGATGGCTGTGATCAATTTGGTCGCAGTTTCGCCTCACCTTTGAAGGAGTGGTTCAAATGTGTGAAGTCAGTTCCACCCGTCTCTTGGTTTGCAGAAGGCATAATCCAAGGAACAACGGTCAGTATCAGGACGCTTTGGATCGTGTCTGTCTGAGTCTTTGGCAGCGCCTTCCACAGTGTTCAAGAACAAAGAACATGATCGAAAGAAAGAGATTTTAGACAGGAACTCCTTCCATGAGAGCAGCTTTGGGAGACATTAAGGTGTCGAACGAGTTTTTGATTCTCGGTGAATGGTACCTCTTCGTTGGTTCCCGTACATCATCATCCTGACCATGACCACCATCATATGTTGTAATCCGTACGTAACGAGATTGATCAGGAGAGGTGATGATTTCCATATCGGGCCAAATCCCAACCGGCTTGTGACGAGTATCAGATTGCAACTGCATCTCCCGGCTGTCGTACTGGGGATCAATCTTGACAGGAACAAAAACAGTAACTGCGTCGGGCCTCGACAAGTCAACAATATTGGCGTGGCCGGGATGTTGATACTTGGGACTTTCCTCACTGATCGAGTACCAGAGAGCAGCATACATCATCCGAAACTGCACCGACATTGTCTTAGCAAGCTGGAGTTCTTCGCCCGTTGGTTTCTGCCCTTCGGCCCGGATGATGTAGTTGCAAACCAACTGGAGCCATCGGCGTAGCAATTTGTGGAGCTGATTGAAGCCGGAACAATGCCTGGTCCATTCCTTGTGGCAAAGGGTATACCGAAACCGCCAGCGGAAGATTTCGAAGAACTTCCGCTGCATCTGCAGGGGGTTGTGGAAGAATTCTGGAAGATGTGGTAGACTCTGATCAATGGTGATGGTAGTTTCCGCGCCAGCACGAAAGATGGGAGTTTTGAATATGGAGACCACCGTCTCCACTTGGACAGCTATGGAATAGATCGCTCTGGTGGCCGGTGTCCACTTGGTATAGGGGTCGTTCATGATGCGAAAAGCCGCGGCGAGATGCGACAAACCTGCGTGACACTTAATCTGTGGGTCAAGATGCTCGTAGACGGCTATCAAGACACAACACAGGAGTACCGTGTCCACACGAATGACGTCCTTCTCTCGGTTGAGGCAGGACAGAGCTTGCAGATACTGTCCAGACGCGAAGGCGGGCTGGGCCGAAGTCAAGTCAGACGTGTCCTTGTACCTGCCAGCGAGAGCGACGGCGAGGTGATGGGCTGCTGGGATCGATGTTGTACATTGTCGAACGTGATGGAACCAAAAGTCGTGAGCACTGCTCGCAAACGTCCATTCTGCCATGGCTGGAGTGGCTACTTCGCAAAAATACTGAAAAGCCCAGCGCTCATGAGGCGAGCCCTGTTCCATTGGTATGGACCCGAGCAAGCGCGCAGGTTCGGCGGCGGACGTATCTGATGGTGTGTTTCTCAAAGGTTCAAAAATCCATGCTCTGCGGACGACATAACCGTCACACTGACGTCTGCTTCTGCTGCATCTCAGACAATTGGGCTTCGTTTCGTCACATTTCACATGTCTCCTTTTACACGTCAGACACCCAGTAACAACTTTAGGATGATAAGTTCGCCTGCCGCAACGGGGTTTGTTGTCGTTGTCCAACGGACCTGATGGAACTGGATCAGTATGTGGTGAGCAAGGTGACAAGGACGCAGTGTGCACCGGGGGATTGTGCGTGATGGTTGGATCTCGCTCGATGTTCACGCATCGATGTTTCTGTCTCGGAGCCATAGCAGGCACTTGCTTGCTGGAAGGTGAGGAAGATTCACATTGTTGTCCCCAGGAATTCCCTCGGCTGCTACGACAATGCCGGTGACAGTAGTCCTCTTATAAACTCGACAGGGCTGAGGCGGATGCCGCACATCACCATGTGGGAGGCCTTAGCGATTTCAGAAGCATTGGATTGGGTTTCCGAGGAGATCAGCATCTGGGAAACGGTAAACATGGAGGGCAGCTTTGCCATCCAGACTTGTAAACGACCTCGATAGCGATTCGCCCGAGGTTCTGGGGGATCCGAATGTAGCCCTATTGAACTTTATAGTCATGGCGGTGTAACAGCAAAGTCACCAGAACCTAGGGGGTCTTTTCATAGCTCGGAGAGCCTAATGAGAAGTGATTTGTCCTGAGCCGCTGGAACATTTAAGGGACGCTCGAGGGATCTGCGTTCTCTGGCTCTGTTTGGCTCAGCGCACCCGTCTTAGGGTAGCCATCATCCCGCGTCCTCGCTTCTGTCGGCTCGCCTAAAACTGGGATCCTCACCTTGGGGTGCTTGTTGAATACAAGCATTCGAACCAATTGAGATGGTGCATGACTGGAAAGCTGCTCCATACCAAAAAGAGGCATTGCTGCCAGAAACTGGTTGCCTTGCAAATGATCATGACCAACGCAATTCTTGTGAGTTGATCAGGCAGAACATATTCGACGTTGACATGTGAGAATACAGCGAGCCGCGACATTTGATTCCACACAGATGTCGCATGTTCCGTGTTGATGAATGCGAGGTATCAGGACCATTCCATGTTGATGGCTCAACGGAAAAACAAACTGGCTGAGCAGAACGTGACTCAGCCTCGTGGCAGCCAGCCATTTAGGGTTTAGTTCAGCCTTGTCCAACCTCACTTCGTTTTCTCGATGCTGCCTCGTCACCACTGCCTCTCATGCTATAGCGACAAGTACCGAGTACAATTCAATTCTCCCCTCAACAACTCATCTGGTCTTTCGCCGTCATGTCAGACAGTATCATGATCCCAGTCCCATCCTTTCATGTCGATCTCGCTGCCATTGATGCCCTCCATCTGTAGGTCCCACCGGTACCCAGCAAGAGTAACCGTCTTTGCTGAGCGTGGAGAATTCTGCTGGCCACTTTGTTAAAAGCTGATGACAGACCAGGGTTCACTATAGCCGCCGCCTTCTAATATTTCGCTGTGCTTCCCTTGCTCAGCGGGATGCTCAGCTGGCTGCGCTCAAGGTAGGCTTACAAGCTCTGGGCTTGCGATGTGCGATTTTGGGTGGCGTGGTCACCCCTCTACAACCTGCAGAGGTCAATGCCACCAACTCCGATCCGAACTGGCGCACCATCCGCCCTGACTGTGGCATTGAACTGGTGGTAAAAGACCTACGGGCGGAATTGCCTTCTTTCGAAGAGCTTGAAAACTCCAATTTCTCAGTCAGCCAACTGCCCTATGACCCGCTTGTGCCCGTGCCTCAGTACCTTGGAAATGACCGCCCTTTCGCCGCCTGCAAAGTCCAGTTCAGCACGATCGACGGAGGCACTATCCTCACGTGGGCCATGTCACATTGCGTGGGTGACGGGGTCGCGAACGACGAGCTGATGCGCGTACTAAGCGAGGCCACAAAGCTTGCCCAAGAGCGCGCTGTGGATGACGTGCTCGCACAGGCTGCCGCGTCCACGCAGATGGGGCTGGATCGCAGCATCATGCGCGGCATGTCCAGTGAGATCCCGTTCAGGATAGAGGATCATCCGGGATACATGACCAACGCGCCAGAACTACCCCCAAGTCATCCTTTCCAGGCCACGGCACCGGAGGTGTCCGTGCTATTCCAAATCCCGGCCACTCGTGTAGCACAGCTCAAAACAGACGCAACACGGCCGGACGCACCACCAATTTCCACACACGATGCAATATCTGCCCTGATATGGCGGAGTCTCACCCTGATACGCCGTCAACGGTGTGCCGAAGCACGGGACCTGCCCGGGTCCACAAAGACCAACCTATTCATGCCATCAGACGGCCGCCGCCACCTGAATATCCCGCAATCGTATATCGGCAACGTGGTCTACCAACTCTCCGCCTCTCTCGATCTGGACACGCTCCTCGCCCCCCGCTCCGGCCTGCAGGAAGCCGCCAGCGCGGTTCGTCGCGCCATCACGGCCGTCAACCCCACGCTCGCGCGCAGCGTCATGGCCGAGACGAACAGGAGGTGGATCGACTGGGCCTTTCTGGGCAGTTACTCGTCGACCGGCGTGGCCATGGGCACGGACTGGACGAGCTCGGCGCTCTATCAACAGGACTGGGGCGCCGCGTTCGGAGGTGCGCCCGCCAGGTACAGATACCCCGGCGAGCCGGGCGTCAATTGCGTCATGCCCAAGTTGCCAGACGGGGCGGCAGAGGTCATTGTCAGCGTCATGGAAAGCGAACTGGACATGTTGACCAGCGAAGAGTGTTTCGGCAAGTATATCATCAGGCAGGGAGACACTCAGGTGTTGATCTGAGATAGACAAGAGATAAAATAGCCGCGGGCCAAAGAAGCTGTTTAAACAAAGCAGCCATAAATGATCTTCAGTTTACATATATTATTTATTTGCGACCTATTTTGCAGTGCGTGTGATAAAAATTACCCATCACTCATTACAACTGCCGATGCTAGACACAAATGGCCCCGTTTCTTGCTTTACATAGACACATCCCTCGCTTTCATGTTATTAAGCTCTGATATGTCAACCATATGGTGCAAGCAGTACTTCAACGGCACAAAAGAAAGCCCGTTTTGCCTGGAACAAACTCTGGCAGAGCACGGGGCGTCATCACCTGCAGAAACGAAACCACCGAACCCCGCCGAACCGTTTCTTACGAATCATACACGGGTCGACTTGCGAAATGGACCATCTTCTCGCCCCAGTCAAAGACGACGAGCATGCTCCGCATGAGGCTGTCGCCGATGACGCCGACGACGGTGTCTCCCCGAATGCTCTGCACGCCCGA